TATAATAAAGTGTGAGTGATGAGAAATGGTCCCAGGTCCTTGTTCCATAGGCTTAAGGGCACAATTCACACTGCATCCTGGAGTTACATGTTTTGGCAGACTCACCTGAAGGTGTCCTGTTTCCTGAGATAACACCTGCACACACATTCATGGACACAGACCTCAATTTCTAATAAATAGTTCAGACCTCTGCTACACCACCTCAGGCATATCAAATAATTATTTGTTCCAATTCCAACTACATTGGGAAGCAGCTAAAATGCAGTTAATCACAGGGTACATTGTCTAATTAACAAAATACCACATCAAAACTGTCTTAATTATTGACCAATTCCAAATTTCCATCTGCCAATAAAGAAGTGAAGTGAAGTCTTGTATTTGGGGCTCTTGTGTACCACATCTTTCAGTTGCCCTTGTATTGGAAGGCAATAAATACCAAGCAAAAATAATGGGGACCAGGCAAACCTCTGCAGCTAAAGACCTGCCTTCTCAAAGCCCCTGACACAGCATGGATGTATAGGAGCTGATGATAATACTTTTAACCCACTGGGGTTCATCAGTTAAGAAGGATTTTCAAAACAAGGATCTTGAAGAAATGATTTGAGTGAAACTGACATGTTGATATAAAAGCCAAGATTTCTCCACTAGAGTCTGAAAATAACGCACATATTCTTTGCTTTACTCCACTATTCTCAAGTTTTGCCCTTGGATGCCTTTAGTTCTTTCATCTTTATAGAGCAATTTTTCATTCCACCTGTTGTTTCATTTGACTTCTGCAATATAACTATTACATGTATTTTACACTGATATTCCACTTTTTAAGGGAAGAAGTTAAAGCTCCAAGAGGCTGTATACTCATCAATAAATGGTAGCACTACAGTTCCAACCAAGACCTTTCGCTTAAATTCCAGACATTTTTCACTCTTCCCTATACTTTGCTATCCCAGCCTCTTGATGTTTGTATCTACTACATTCCAATCATCCCATGCTACTCATCCAATTAATATAGTCAACAACATTGACAAAACATTAACTATATGCTAATCCTTATTTCAAGGGCTTTATAAAACAATTTAATCTTCTGAACATCCTATGAAGATGCTATGTGATTTTGCAAAAACTAAAGTATCAGTAGTCCCTTATATAAAATGAGTAGCTTAGATTAGAACTGAGATTGAAAATATATTTCAATCAAGATTTCAGCTCTGGCCAATGGGTAGTAGCTGCCTGATGAGTTGTACTGAAAAGTATTCTGAGGCCACATTGAGTAATGCAGACAATGATCAGTTTGTGATACCTATCAAGAACATGGGATGTAGGAATAATGTGCTACACACTTGCCTCTGAAGCACATGAACTCCAATCCTCACTTAGCCTAAAGTTCTATGGTTCTAAGAATCTAATTTATTCTTAATAGCCATCATATGCTACCACTAAATGCTGAATTTTGAACATTAAATGAACTACCACTAGTCGTCTCTTCCCACCCCTCTCTCGTTTCCAAGGATTCATGAAGAAAAGCATTTTACTTTCCCCAATCCTGAAGACATATTAGGGTCTTATTCTGGATATATCTCACTGTGACTTGCTTCCAGTTTACAAACAAAATGTTTCATGGGGACTGCCACAAATCCTCTGCCAAGTCTCTGACAGCTGCAAACATCCACACACAGTTCTGTGCTGCTTGCCCACTTCCAGCCATGCAGTGGCCAAAACAAGACCAAGAAATAGTTTGTACTTTTTCACCAGCTGTTATTTCTTAAGTGCCAACTTCTTCAGAGGAAAAAAATAGAAAACTAAGGATGACTATTTTATGCAGATGACACAGTAGAACTTTCAAATAAAAGAGCCGATTTTGCAGATGGAACCCCTTATGGCCCCTCAATGTGTCTGACCTGATTTCTGTCCCCTCGCCTTTGTTCCTTAGTAAGCTCTACCCCCCGCACACACACACAGGGAATTCTACATCTCTCACTCTTTTGAGACAGAGTGATACACTCAGCACAATCAAAACAAGATATGGTTTAAAATCTTGACTCTACCTCATCCTAGTTAAGGAAATAGACCTCATCGATGTCTCTGAGCCTCAGTTTCTTCATCTGTAAAATGGGGATCATCAGAGCACCAATTACCTAAGAAAAACTGTCAACAATTAGAAGCCAATGGATGTGAAAGCCCCTCTAGACCCACAAAGTGCCAGGGATATGAGTTTTCTTCATTACTTCCCTTCTTTGTTCATCTAATGTTTCATTACTCACAGGGCTTTTCATTCTTGAGTCTGAAAATGAAATTGACTTTACATTCACAGCTACTATGTCATGCCAACCTCCACAGCTTCCCTGCAGGCCTCCTTGGTATTCCCAGTACCTGGTTGTATGGGGCCTTGAGAACTGGGAGGAACCTTGACATAAAGGAAACTGCCATTTCTACCGACCCATACCACTGTTCTGAGCAAGACCCAGCACCGTTCATAGTTGCAGAATGAAACCAAAGAGTGATGGATAAACAAGAAACTATAAAACTCTTTAAAAAATTGATCAAACTGGGCACAGTGGCACATGCCTGTAATCCCAGCAGCTAGGGAGGCTGAGGCAGAAGGATTGTGAGTTCAAAGCCAGCCTCATCAAAAGCAAGGCACTAAGCAACTCAGTGAGACCCTGTCTCTAAATAAAATACAAAATAGGGCTGGGGATGTGGCTCAGTGGTTGAGTGCCCCTGAGTTTAATCCCCAGTACCCCCCCCAAGAAAAATTAATTAAAGCTATGTTTTGCCCTGATTTTTTGAATCACAAATATACATACTGATATCAAATATCTTATTTAAGGCTTATTTAAGACATTTTTAAATGTCCCATCAGAATGATTTGCAAAGCTACTGGAAAGAGATTCATATGGAAGCATGACATGTTATGTTTATTTAGAGGAAACCATATTTCCCAAAGTGAAATGATCATATTGACAGAAACACAAAACAGAACCTATCTTTAGCCTCATTACTCATTCTGTTCCTCATAACTGAAATGAGAATGTGAATTCATTGACATCTTTCTTTACTTTAAGCACTTGAATGCACTCTGAGGATGCAGTGATAAATGAAACTCAGTATTTGCCTTTATGGAGTTCCCAGAATAATAGGAAGACTCGAATATTATTACCTGGTATTTGAAATTTATATTATCTGACAATCAGGATTCTCCTCTCATGTTATTTTATGAAGAACCCTCTATATAGTTTTACATTACAATGTTATCCTACCACACTTCTATCCTGAAAGCTATGCATTTTCCCCCAATAATTTTTACACTTCTCTTCTGAATGCTTATGACATGTACATACCTCAGGCTTTAGATACCTAGAGCTTAGCAGTCAATGGCCTTTTTTTTTTTTATTTTGGCCTAGACTAAATTTCAGTAGTTCAGTTTATTCAGAAGGATTCATTCTTTTCCTGAATTTAGAAAATTGTGAATCTGACTCATTGAGCACCAAACCCCTGCTCAGATATGGGAAAGTCCCCTGCAAATTTCTGAGATGGCCACATATAGCTGCCACTAAGGAGGAGGATTGGCCCACTCTCTGTACCATTAGGATGTAGTAGGGCCTAGCAGTTGCATCCTGAGAAGAAGCCCTCCTCGAGGTAAATGTCAGATATGGCTTAAGCCTGTAGCCCTTCCTTACACTTGAAAAAGTAAGAGCCCACAAACCATACAGCCACCAAGTCTCCAGGGAAGACACCTGTACTCTACAACTTGACCCACCTGTTGTTTCACTTTACCAAAGCAGTTGCTATTATCAAAACCATCTTTGATATTACCTCACTTCATGAAATCAACCCACCTTTCCTTGGTGCTGGGCCTACTGAAGTAGAACTTGACATTGGCACACTGAGTATGTTTCAGGGGTGGTGAGCATATAAAGCAATGAGGTTAATAGCCCTTTGGCTTCAGAAAGTCTACATCATGTCCCATTCCTCTTCCACTACCTCTTCTAAGTCATATCCAACAGTCCTAACCTATTTCCCCACCAAAGTTTAGTCAGTATAAGACCTAACACAAATAAAGGAGCAGACCCTTTAGGGTTTGCAACTGACTTGAGCTAAGCCCATGACCAATTTTTGACCAAATGGATAAAAATAGATGACTAAAACTTAATTATCAAAACCCAATACACTCTCCACAGTTATTTGCTGACTTGAGACCCACACTGAATCAGCAGACTTACAGTGAACAGAAGTGTAGAGGATAACACTTTTATGCCATTGTCTTCCTTAGTTCTCTTTCTGAAGTTTCAGGGCATGATTTAGCAGCAATTGCAAACCAATACATAAGGCACTCCTCTCAATTTGTTGTTGGTGGTGGTAGTGGTGGCTGCTGCTGAGAATCCAACCCAGGGTCTCACACAAGCTAAGCACACACTCCACCACTGAACTTCACCTCCGGCCTCCTCTCAATTTTTAACTTTCTTTAATTGGCCCACAACATTCTCCTGATGACTTAATATTAAGGAAAAAAAAAAAAAACTTTAGTGTCCTGTAATTTTCTAATGAAATTTTACATCTTAAATGAAATAAACAGACATTTGCTTTTAAACAATGTTCAAAAATATAAGATGTAATAAAAGAAAAATTTAGAAGAAGTAGCAATGAACTGATGGATAGACCCTTTCCTTGAACTAAATGGCTTTAATTTAGGTGCTCAAACTTGGTGTAGTGGCATGGCACTCCATTAGAAACATAAGACAGAGAGCAGTCTCACAGATCCTTACCCTGTTTCTGAGAACCACAGCCAGTTTTTATGTAGAGTTATGACTGTGAGATAACCTAACACTAAGACAGTGCTAAAGAATTCTATGAGGATGAAGGAAATTTTTGAATGGTTCAGGGAGAGAGAGCAAGGAAAATTAACCCTGAACTGTGTCTGCTTCCTATGTTTCAGAGCAGGGATTTTAGCTCTGGTGAATTACTGGTTGTTAGTCGACTGTAATTTTCCTCTCTTTTCTTCTCAGGAGGGCAAGAAGACCTCATTCTTTCCTATGAGCCTGTCACAAGGCAGGAAAGTAAGTTTCCCAGCATTCTCGGGTTCCTGATTTCCAGGCCATAACAGGTGACACAACTGAAGGAGGGAAACAGTGACGGCTAAGGAAAATATACTCGGCTTAAAACTCAGTTGCCCCTCAACTACACCCTACTGTCTTTCTTTGGCCCTGTCACCATACAGCAACTTCCCTGTGAAACATGACCAATACCAGCTCCCAAGAGGATGGAGCAGCCCTTCAAATGAGTGTCCCTTAGTGGGAAGGAGCACATCCAAGTGTCTGGCTAGAGAGCCCTAGCCAGGGACCTGAAGGCTAAATCCTCCCAGGAAGCTTGTGTGAGCCCAGTACTAAGAACATTCTAGCACACCTAAGATAGAGCTATCTGAAGGCTGCCCAGGGAAACTGACTTAATTTTTCTGGAGGCCATTTATACAGAGGCTGATGGCTATTGACAAGGATGTTGCAGAGAAAATTCAAGCATCAGATGGGCAGAGTTGCCAAATGAACTTTAGAGATCCTTTGAATCCCAGATACAAAGGAATTAGGAAAACCCCAGCAGAGCACAGAGTATTTTGAGCTGAGAGAAAGAAATTATAAAAACATAAAGTGTCATTACTACTAACAACTGCTTTTAAACAATGGCCAAACAGCTGGTTTGAATTCTTTCTTTCTCCCACTCAACTGACTAAACCCGGGTGTTTTGACATTGTGTAGGCATAAATGAAGAATAAGCAAAACTCTTCCAAATGCTTTTCTTTTCTTTCTTTTTTTTTTTTTTTACATTTTTCTAGTTGAAGATGGTCACAATACGTTTATTTTATTTATTTTTATGTGGTGCTGAGGATTGACCCAGCGACTCACACCTGCGAGGCAAGCGCTCCAACACTGAGCCACAACCCCAGCCCCCATTCACAGTCCCTTCAGTTGCTTTTTTTGGGGGGTGGGGGGTAAGTCCCAGACAGTAAGCACAGTCAACATCCTGAGGAGTAAACATTCATTTCCCTATGTTGGGTAATTGATCCAACGTTATTCCTTTGGCAGTTCTTACTGTTTGGCAGTTTCATTTTAAGAACCATCCTTGCAGGACAATTTTTCAATGATCTCCAAGTCGGTCTGCATATCTGCATCTTCTTTTTCCTATCTGCAGTAAACTATACCCGGCCAGTGATTATCCTGGGCCCCATGAAGGATCGAATCAATGACGACTTGATATCTGAATTTCCTGATAAATTTGGCTCCTGTGTGCCTCGTAAGTATCATTTCTCTTTTTTACAGGAAAAAGCTTGGATTCTTTATGATAAAATAATATTATTCTTCCGGTATTTTCTGGTTTTCCAAATACCACCAGTTACCCATTATCTGAGCACTGTCTTTCAATTCTCTGCCTAACACTTTGCATCTATGCTGCTATGTGCTGTTCTCTATTTGGTAAGTATGATAATGTTCTCTCCAAACTGACTGTAGTCCCATAGAAGGTAGGCAGGATCTCTGTAAACCCCTAGCACTTAAAACAGCATAGAATTTATGATAGGCCACAGAACGTTCTTACAGACTGATTAAAATGCCACTATAACATCTTATTCCATAGAATGAGGGAGGTCAGAATCAGTCATATATTAAAATCTTCTCAGGATGACTTAGGACAATTTGTTAATCCCAAAATCAAATAGCCTTTCCATGAGTTTTGACAGTGCAGGTCTTAGGAGAATGAAAATAAGATGTCTGAGACTTTATTCTACCCTAAAAACCTCTGAAGACTTTAATCTGCTTTGTCATAATTGACAAACATTGGGTCTCCTAGCCTCTCTGTAGCTCTGTAAGCTTCTGTCTGCTATAACTTTTCCCCCTACCATCACACTTCGCCATCCACCCCCATGCACAGAGACCTTCTGTGCAGACAAGCTCACTAGCAAAATTGAGCTTACTCCATAAGGAAACTCGTAAATCTGATCCCAACAAATACTTCTCCCTCATTCTTCAAGTGTCTCTAACATTTCAATAGTGCAAATTTCCCTTACAGTACTAAAGAATAGCAGGACTCAGGTGTATTACGTGGGCAAAAGAGAGCTAGGATGATTGCTGCATCTCCTGAGCCAGTTCCCAGAGAAGTTCCCAGCCTTGGGAAGAGTTTGTGCCACAGAACATATCCCAATAAAGTCTTCAGATGGAAAAGATCAAATAAAACCCTCTGTTAATTACAGCAGCTTCCAGTTGGATCTTCCACTTTTTATTTATTTATTTACTCTAATTAGGTATATGTGACATAGAATGCATTTTGATTCATTGATCTTCCACTTTTTGAGAGAAATAAAACAAAGTTCTTAAGCATTACATCCACTTCCCCTTCATCTCACACATGCTACTTTTTTCATTAATAGCACTATTTCATGATAAGCAGTGCATGTTCATTGTACAAAACTTGAAAAATTCAAAAAAGAAACTTAAACAAGAAAGTAAAAAGTTCACAGAATGCCCCATAACATCCAGAAATAACATCACGGATATATTATTTCTTCCATTATACACGTTTTTTCATATGATAGATGGGTTTTTGACATTATTTAAAATTTTATGCAACTATTTTAATGATTAGTATGTCATAATTAATCATTCTTCATTTATGGATACTTTGGGTTTTCTCTATTTTTCATCACTGAATTTATAATTGAACTATAAAATCATTATTTACAAATTAATAAAATTAATATCTTTAGGGTTAAAACTGTATCTGAAGTTTCAATCACTTTTAACATAGATTCTTAGAAAATAACTGAGTAAAACTTTAGATAGTTTTAGATATATTTTAACTTTTTAAAGTCATATCGCTAGATGTTTTTCCCCTCTTTCTAAAACATGTAAGTGCAATGGTTAGACTTGCTGACTTTTCGTCCCACCTGTACTGTGATTCTCTTATTACACATAACACATTATAACTGTATGACAATGTCTTTCTCCTAGTTACATGACTTTATTTCTTTGCTTATTTTGTGTCAGACACTACAGTGGTGTATTGCTGGAAATCACATTTTGTTATCTTCCTTCATGTATTATATGTGTTCTGGAAAGCAACTGCCAAAACAGTTTGTTCCAGCTGCAACTTGGCTTTAGACTTTGTAAAGATGGGTCTAGAGTAAGTCTAGAGTAGCATTCCAGAATGTGGCCTTTCTGGGGTTTCAATCAAATGCCCAATTCTGGCTGAACTCCAGTGTCTCCTAACATTGTGTGACCTGTATACTTTCCAAGTGGAAAGGACTCCTAGGTAGAGAGGTGTAGTGAATGTACAGTTTCCCTGATATATTTTATTCTCTGACAATTACAGTTCTTCACTGTTAATTGGTGCCTGAAAACAGTTGTTCCATGTTAAGTTTTATAATTTTTTGTGGTAGGAGATTAAGACTGGTACCTGTTACCATGTCATGGTTCATCATATTACATATGTTTATGTATCTATGTGGGGACATGGTAGAAAAAAATAGGTGGTGAAAAGGAAGCTTATAAAAATAAATGTGTCTTAATTTTTTTATTTCTTATTCTGTAAAGATACTACAAGGCCGAAGCGTGACTATGAAGTGGATGGGAGAGACTATCACTTTGTCATTTCCAGAGAACAAATGGAGAAAGATATTCAAGAGCACAAATTTATAGAAGCTGGCCAGTACAATGACAATTTATATGGAACCAGTGTGCAGTCTGTGAGATTTGTAGCAGAAAGGGTATGTTTGCCAATCTCCTTATAACTCTCCACAAGAGTATATCTAGGTGGCAAACTGTGTCTTTTTTTTTTTTTAATCATTACTCTTTCCTGATTGCAGTTGAAAAACTTTGATTAAATATTCCTTTTAAGGTTTCCAAGGAGAGAATCACCTTAGAGCAATGTCATTAATCTATATTCTAATCTCAATAAAGTATTCTAACTACATGGAAAGGGGAGAGAACAGAGGATCTATAAAGCTAGTTAACAGCCATAAGTTTATGGGGCCTCAGTTTATTCTTGACTCTCTGAGACCTTAATAAATAAAACCTCTAAGGATAATAAATAAAAATCTTTGTTACTTTTGGTTACCTAGTTGTGTTCAAAGGATTTACTTCTCTATTTCTCCTTTTCTCCCTCTCCCCCCCGCCAATCTCAAAACTTGCTATCTTCATGTTGGAGGGGAGATATATCAGAAAAGTTTCGATTTAGAGAAAGTGTCAATGCTGTCATTCCCTTCTTCCTGACCATTTCAGAGCAGGGAAAACAGGAGAATGTTTAAGAGAGAAGAGGATAGGAAGATACTTGAATGGGGCTTTAGAATGGGCCCATATAGAGATGCCATCTCCTATAAACACAAAGAAGCAAAGTCAGAAAATATTTGTCAGGTTGGTTGGATTTGATGTGATGCTTTCTGCCCTTTTGATGTACTAATAAAAAGTCAAACAAATTTTTCTAAGATGAAAAGATGGCTAAATAGAGGTGACCAGCTTTGTCTTCTTTCTCTACAAAGAACAATTAAAGTAACAGATATATGCTGCATTTCAAGGTGAGCAAAGGGAGGAGAATACTGGAAATCAGCAAGAGAGAGATTGGAACCTTATAAGATTCAGAGACCTTGGAAAACAGCATAAAAAGAAAATTACAACACTCTGGCAACTGCAACCCCCAGTTCCATAGCCAGGGTACACACAGTCCCTGGCTCCAACTTGGTCCAGCAGCTCTGACGCAAGCTCACTGGGTCCTGCACTGTAGGATATATAGGTGTTGTGACATGGAGGGGAATGGAGGGTGCCACCCTCAACATTCAGGAGATCAGGAGGCCTGTTCTCTGAGACCATGTGCACATCCATCTGTGTGTGGTTTTGTGCCAATTCCAGGACTGAAAGCAGATTCCCAAATGGTTTCTTCCATCCCTGCCCTCTGTGCAGCATTTAGGCAATTGTTTCTGGCAGTGAGAAGGGAACACCATGATTCCCACTGCTAGCTTGCCCACAGGGACATGTTGAAGGGTCCTTGAGTGACTCTACTACATCAGCTATCTCCTTACCCTTGAACATGCAAGGTGGGGAGGGTCAAGAGCAACTCCACCTAGCTACATTCATGTCCCACTCCCACTTGTTCCTAGGCAGGCACTACAGCTGAAGGAGTTCAGGATGTAGAAAAGACCCAGCTACTGTCCCACCCATAGGCATGCATGGCCAAGTTCCCAGAGGAACTTTGTCCAGCTCCGGTTGAGTTCCCACTCCCCAGGCAACACAGTCACTGAAGCACAAGAACACCAGGGTTCCTGCTGCCATAACACATACACCATTTCCAGTGCTGCCTGCTACTGCATCTGGTTTGACCCACACAGTGCTGTCCAGACTGGCTGAGTGCCACAGAGCAGGTACTGCAGTTCTCACCAATGCCTCTCCCCAGTTCTCACACCACTGAGTAATTGTAAGAAAAATGTACTGAGCCTTTCACCATGCTGGGGCCACCAGTGCCAAGGGCTCTTGCTAGTAACAGAGCTAACATTAAAAATACCTGAGGAAACTCTTGTGGCATGATGGGAGCCACCACTCCTGTCACAGGAGCAGGCACACAGTGAACACCCCACACCCACTGCTGTCTGCACTACAACTGTCTGAACCACTAGAGTATCTTCATTCTTATGTGGCCTGCAGAAATAATGAGTCTGTCTGACTCCTCCAAGGTAAACATTGTGACGAAGTCATTATTTACAGCCAAAGAAGCTATAGGGGGAGTCACTATGCTACCCAGCTAGAATTAAAGACAACATTGCCTAACAAACCAATACCTCATGATCCAGCTTCAGGAAAAAGCTGTTAAGTAGGTCACCCCATAAAATTAGTAGAGAAATTTGATACAATAGATGCACAAATCTCACCATAAAAAAAAACGAATATAAAAGCACAAGGTAATATGACACCTCCAAAAGAACATAATAATTTTCTAGCAACAGATAGCAAAGAAATCAAAATGAGTGGAATGCCTCATAAAGAATTTTAAAGAGTGACTACAAAATGTTCAATGAGATCAAAGAGAATAGAGACAAACCATTAAATAAAATTAGGAAGACAACGCAGGATATAAATGAGATATGCAGTAAAGAGACATTCTGAAAAATAACTAAATAGAAATCTGGGAAATTAAGAGCTCAACAAATCAAATAAAAAATACAATTGAAAGCCTCAAAATCAGACTAGATTAAGCAGAAGAAAGAATATCTAAATTTGAAGACAGATTCCAATCAGAAAAAAAAAATTAAAAAGAAGAAGAGTATTACAGACCTGCAAGCATTATTAAATGTACAAACATCTACATTTGGGGGGTTACTCAAAAGTGAAGGTCATTTTTTGGATTACTCAAAAGTGAAGGTCATAGGAAAAAAAGCTAAGATAATAGAAAACCTATTCAATAAAATAATAACAGAAAATATCCCTAATTTGGGGAAGGATATGAACACTCATATATAGGAGACTTATGGGACCCCAAACAGACATAACCAGAAAGTATATTTACCACAGCATATTATGATTATACTATCAAGGGTACAAGACAAAGAAAAATTCTAAAATCTGCAAGACAAAGCATAAAGTTATATTTAAGTTGTATTATACTAACTGTAGATTCCTGTTAGAAACTCTGTAGTCCAAGAAGGAATGGAATGACATATTCTAAGTCCTTAAAGAAAATAACTGCCAGCCCACTATATCTACTAAGGCTATCCTTCAGAAATGAAGAAGAAATAAATACCTACCAAGACAAGCAAAAACTGAGGAAATTCATGATGATCAAATTAACTTTACAAAAGATAAGTAAGAGAGTCCTACATCCACAAGTGAAAGAAAGATAACTACCATCATGAAAGCATCTAAAAGTATAAATACCACTAGAAGAGTTGAAACACAAAAGAGAAGTGAAAAAGAACCCAACACTATCAATAGAATAAACCATCAAACCACAAAGATGAACAAGAGAGGAAGAAAGAATAGAGACTATTCAAAACAACTAGAAGAAATTTTTTAAAAAATGATAGGAATAAGTCCTTACCTACCAATGATAACCTTAAATGCAACAAACTAAATTCTCCAATTAAAAGTACAGATTGGTTGAATGAATGTAAAAAAAGAAAAAAAAAACATGTTGCCTATAAGAAACTAACTTCACAAGTAATGACACACACAGACTGAAAATGGAAGGATAGAAAATAGTACTCCAAGCAATGAAAATCTAAAATGAGCAGGAATAGTTACGCATATTTCCAGCAAAATAGACTTAAAGAAAAAACTAAGAAGAGATAAAGAAGGCCACTTCATAATGATCAAGAGATAAATTTATGAAGAAATTATGGTTATAAATCTATATGCATCTAATTTCAGAGAGCCCAACTTTATAAGACAAACACTATTAAACCTAAACGAAGAGATAGGATCTAAAACAATAATAGTGAGGGATTCCAACACCCTTCTATTTCCAATGTACATCCAGACAAAACATCAAAGAAACAGAATTAAATTACACCATAAATCAAAAAGACAAAACATAATTTAAAGAACATTTCTATTCAACAATGTGGAATAGACATTCTTTTTATCAGCCCATTGAAACTTCTCTAGAATCCACCATATATGACACAAAACAAGTCTTAACAGATTCAAGAAAATTTAAATCATACCCTGTATCTTTTCTGATTATAATGGAAAAAAACTGGAAATCATCAACAAAAGAAATTTTAGAAATTACATAAATATATAGAAACTGAACAACACAGATTTGAACAGTGAGTCATTGAGAAAGGAAGAAAGGAATTGTTTTAAATTACTCAAAACAAGTGAAAATGGAAATACAGCATACCAAAAACTTGTGGGATGCAACAAAAGTAGTACTAAGTAGGAAGTTCCTAGCAATGAATATCTACATTTTAAAAAAATAAACTAAAATTTCAAGTAAGCAACCTAATGCTATATCTCTTAGATATAGGACTTAGAAGAGCAAGAATAAACAAAATCCAAAATTAATAGAAAGAAATAAAAAATATCAGCGGGGAAATAAATGACACAGAAACTATAAAAATACAAAAGTTCAATAAAATAGAATTGGTTTTTTGAAAATATAAATAACATTTACAAAATGTTAGCTGAATTAACCTAGGAAAAAAAGAGAGAAGGGCCAAATAAATAAAAGCAGAAATGGAAAAGAAAACATTACAACCAATACCAGAGAAATACAGAAGATCATTAAGGATTATTATGAAAAACCATATGCTAACAAATTGAAAACCCCAGAAGATATGGATAAATTTCTGGACATACATGGTATATCAAAATTGAACCATGAGCATATAAAATCCTGAATGAATCCAGTAATTATATAGAATTGGTTTAAAGGAAAGCCTTCTCTTGTACAAAGGAAAGCCAGGACTTCAGGGGCTTCACTGTTGAATTTTACCAAAATTTAAATAACAAATGCCAATTCTTCTTAATCTATTCCACAGACTTGAGAGGGAAACTTTCCACACTCAGATGAGGTCAGAATTACCCTGTTGCAAAAAAATACACAAGGATACAAAAGAAAAAGAAAATTACAATATCCCTGATGAATCCTAGTTGCAAAAATTCTCAACAACAACAACAAAAAAAACCTAGCAAATCAAGTTGAATATGTGGGTGTATGCCGATAGTCTCAGCAACTTGGAAGGCTGAGGCAGGAACAGCCTCTTCAATAAATGGTGCTTGGAAAACTGGATATCCATGTGCAGAATACTGAAACTGTCACCATATACAAAAACAAACTCAAGATAGATAAAGGCTTAAATCTAAGATCTGAAACTTAAACCACTAAAAGTAAGCACTTCAAGACACTGGTACAGGCAATGATTTTCGGAATAGGCCCTCAAAAGCACAGGAAACCAAAACAAAAATTGACAAATAGAATTAAATCAAACTAAAACCTACTGCACAGCAAAGGAAACAATCAAGAGTGAATAGATGGAGCTGGGGATGTAGCTCAGTTGGTAGAGTGCTTGCCTCACATGAACAAGGTCCTAGGTTCAATCCCCAACATCACAAAAAAAAAAAAAAGTGAAGGGATAACCCCCAGAATGGAGAAAATATCCACCAACTATTCAATGTGACCAGGGTTAATATTCGAAATATGTAAAAAAAAAAAAACTAAAACTAAATGCTCTGATTTGTTTTAAAAAATGGGTATTATGTGTTGGATCTACAAAGTCCCACAAAGGCCCATGTGTTATAGGCTTTGCAGTAATGTTAAATAGAAGTAGGGCTTTGGGGAAGTAATTAGATCACATAGGCTCTCATAGGCTCTCTTCTCTTCAGTGTTTTAATCCACTGATAGTCTCATAATTTGATGGCATCATTGAGAGGTGGTACAAACTGTAGGAGGTGGGACCTAGTTGGTAGACATAGGTCACTGGGTATATGCCCTGGAAAGGTATATTTGGTCCTGACCCCTTCCCTTGCTTACTTTCTGCTTCGCAGGCACCAAGATATAAGCAGGTTTGGCTATCATCAAAGAGTAAAATGTAACAAATACTGCTGAGAACATGGAGAAAAAGGAACACTAATACATTGTTTAAGTTTTTTGAGGAACCTCCATACTGTTGAGGCAGTAGCCCACTTCTGGTATATATCCAAAGAAAATGAAATCTGCATGGCCATGTTTATAGGGGAACCTATTCACAATAGCTAAAATTCAGAATGAACATAGGTGCCCATCAACAGTTGAACAATAATATGAAGTATTATTAAGCCATAAGGAAGAATGATCTCCTGTCATTTGCAGCAAAATAGATAGATCAAGAGGAAAGAGGACAGATACCAAAAGACAAGTACTTCATGTTCTCTCTCTCTCATGTGGAAGCTAAAAATAAGTTAACCTGAAAGTAAGATCCTGATTACTAGGTACAAAGAAGGACATGGGGTCGGTGGAGGGCGGTTAATGGTAGTTTGATTTATTTGATCAGTGCACTATGTAGGCATGTATGGAAATATCACACTGAATTTCTTTAATATGTTTAATTAATTTATGTTAATAAAAAGGAAATATATGAAAAAGATGAGTCTATTTTCCTCTCTCTGAAAAGGCTAGGTTCTCTCAGCATTATATGGATACTGGTTCTCATCAGTGTCTAGAAAATTGCAACTGTTTTCCTCTTTGAACGTGTAGATATCACCTTTAACTTAAAATGTGCTTTTCAGTGAGTAATCAAACAGCATTTATACCTTTTATATTACTGTTGCACTTCACAAATAGCAAAATTGGAATTTATTGCTTACGTAATAAAGTCCAGTGAATACCTGAACTCTGTTTATTTTCACATGGATATTGTAAATTGTTTTTATCTCCTATTATTGATCTAGGACTGTCCCAATTTTTATAACATGATTTTTTTCTCTGCTTGTATAAAGTTCTTCTAGCCTTGGGGTAATAAGGCCATTTCTTCCTAGGAGGTAGAATATTAAATGGCAAATTTACATCTACTTTTCCAGAAATACTTTATAAAGCAGTTCCTTGCTCAGAGTACTCATTACAGTGAAATCCATGTTAAATGAGGTGTGCTATAATGACATCAGGTTTTTGTTAACAAACTAGAAATTTTTATACCCTCTGAAAGATTCTCTTTCATCATTTAACCATATAACATTTAAGGTAACTTTTTTGTCAGTTCTCTCTAAACTGAACATATTAAGGACTGGATACATGTAAGCATTCAGCAAATGTTTAGGGAATTGTTCTAAATTCAAGTGATTACCATTCTTCCAAATTTAACATTGGTCAGGGTAGGACAATGAAGTGTCTATTCCAATCAATGATTCTATCAGTACTTAAGGCTTGAGTTTGAGTCCTCCTAGCACTGAACTTTTTGGCAAGTTGAAAGTTCTGTCTTCATCTTCTCTTCCGTAAAATACAGTTGCTATCTCATAGATGAGGATTCCTTGATAAGTTTTTTCAGGGATGTTTATAAGCTTCATGGGAATGGACTTAATTACCTAACATATGACTTCAAATCTTCTTTGTGCAGTGCATTCTGTATTTGTGGAAGAAAATAAAGTTCACTGAGAATACATGTAAAATTCTAGTTCAGAGGTGGACACTTAGTAAAGGGGCTAATGAATATTAATTATTACAAGCATTCAGTGGTTACCCTATATATCAACTTTCATTTACTCTTTCTAGCAATCTTTTTTCTTTTTTTTACCTATTGCATCCCATACCCTCTTCTAAAACACACATGCACTATTTTCATTTTGTTGGATTATGACCACTTTTTCAGAATTCACTCCTTATTTTTCTTCTTTCTACCAGGGCAAACACTGTATCCTTGACGTATCAGGAAACGCTATCAAGCGATTACAAGTTGCCCAGCTCTATCCTATTGCCATCTTCATAAAGCCCAAGTCTCTGGAACCTCTAATGTAAGTAGAGGGCTCTGGAATACCTCATGCAACTACCTGTTCTGTTTTGCACAGCAAACTGTTAATACCTCTTTTGCACAAATAATTACAAATGGGAAATGCCATTTTGCTATTTTTAAGGATTTTGTTTGGTTAGTTTTCAAAATGACAGGAGAGGATCATCTTTGAGCTGCCTCTTACTTCTGAGTGCAGATTCATAGGTAAATCTTTTTAAATGTCTGCATTTTTTGTAGAGGGAGCAGGCAACATTTAGACTTTTTCCATTGGTGTTTTACATTGTCTTATAAAAGAATTCTGATGTTAGAAACTTCATATGCATAGACAAGTTTCCTTAGTGACATGACAGTAAAAGGTCTATAACTTAACCAGTAGCTCTATAGCATGTTTATGAGCCAGGGGATAATGTATTACTCAAATTTTTTCCAAAATGCTTATAAAATTCCTTCCTTCAAAAACCAGTAATCAGATTGGGCAATATTTATTCTATAACTCTAAAATCACCATAGGCAACTCCCATAAAGAAGTGAAGCTTTTTGGAGGAAATGATATCAGAGCAAAGAGAACACAGCAGAGCCTTGAACGCTGGTCAGGCTGGACTTGGTTCTTTGCTTTGTCAGTGGTCAGTTATATAACCTTGGGCAAATTACTGTATCTCCCTAAGATTTAATCTTCATCTTTAAACTAGACTTTAATAAATACCTGATAGGACTAGAGTAAAAGTTAAGCCACAAGGTCATGAATTTAAAACTCTGTGTACAGTCTTTGATATATACTAAGTGCACAATAAATTTAGTAGTTATTATTATCAAAGATAGAAAGTTGCTGTATTATGAAAGATTAATGTAATTATATCATAAAGTGTATAAAGTACTTTTGAAAGAATGCAAGAGATAATTCCAGTTTGTCTGTTACAAGATCCTTTGCTCAAATACTGCTTCTATTTGGGCCTCAAGAGGGTGTTGAACCACAGGGTATATACTTGAAAACAATGTTCATGGAAAAAATTGAAGGCACGGAAATTCTTTAATCCCAAAGGTGAAAGCAGTTATTTGCCAATGATATCAGCTAACGGTTCTGGTCTTCTCTGAGGATGAAGAGGCAAAGCACATTGCAGTAGCTAAAATGGCAGCCTGAGAAAATTAAGTTAAATATATACTTGGCCTATGGAGAAATTGCCAGGAATGCATCTGAAAAGCAGAATATAGACACATGAATAAAAGATAGACAAAGGGTTTTTACCAGGATTCGGAAATAAAATTGTGAGGTCATTGTCAGCCCCTTGAATTTAGGTATTAAATTATGCTGAAGAACTTTAACTATAGTTGGTACTTGGAAAGGTTTGTATTAAAGATTGAACAGTGGTTCTTAATATTATTTCCCTAATAACATGTGTCAAATTTCCCCTTTAGCAGGATACTGTGTTGGGGAACAACACAGTATCTGTGTTAAGCAACCACAGATTTCATAATCTGTAAAGAGCCTCACAAATATTTTAAATAACACTAAAGTTAATAAGAAGAGTAGAAAAATGGCCCTCATCTCTTGAGAAAAACAACTTAAAGTTCTATTTCAGAAAAGAAAAGTAAGTCTTCTCATAAACACACAATGAGATAAATGGCTTCCTAGGGAAGGAGGCCTGAGGGAGCAACAGCAGTGGCACATGGGTTCAGCACGATGCTGGGAGTGAGTCCCATCTGGTGCTCGGTAGAAGGTCCACTTCCTTCCACAACTATCAGATGACTTATTTAGTTTTGCCTTAGGGCACTGTCACAGCCACTTATCACCAGGGAAAATTAAACATACTGAGGGCTGGATTCCACAATGAGGACAATGAATCTGACATAATGTGCTGCAGCCATATTCATAGGAATGAGTGCAGTGGTGATGCTGGTCAGACCAATGTGATCTCATTACTCAATGCTGAATGTTTACGGTTCACTCTTTTCTGAGGCTTTTACTTCAGGAGCAAAGCTAGCATGAATTGCCCATTGCCCAGAAAGGAGTGAGTGCCAGGTCAGCCAGAACAAAAACATGGCAGCTGTCACATTTAGGCATTGATACATCATCACACACATTATTTCTCAAGTGCATCATCTGCATCAATCCACAGAACTTGTTAGCACATACATAGCTGACTTCAGCAGAGATAAAATCAAGGGCATGTATGAAAGAGATGTTCTTTTTATATCATGCTGCCATAACTTGTGCCCCTACCACAAAGCAATGAGATGCTTTCCCAGGTCTTATCACCCTGCCACCTCCAATCTCCTATTCCTGTCTTGCCCCCATGATGTCCTGTGTTTACTTCTGCCTGTATCTATGTCATAATTATGTTTATCGGTCCCCATTTATTCATTCATTCACTTATCCCTTCAACAAATAAGTATTGAATTAGGATTGATTCCATATGTTAACGAACAAAGAACTTACAGCTTAGACAAAGAGACAAAATTAATTCATATATTAGAGGACAGTGATATAAATTAAGCTATTACCTAAATAAGTTCAAATCAGATTCAGAAAGAAAGAAAAAAGAGACTACCACAGACCAAGCAAGTTAAAGAAGATCCAGAGCTACATGACTTGTTTACTGGGAAAAATCATACCCCATTTGAATCAAATGTATGCTATATGATATGTCAAGATCATTGTAATGTTTTGAGCAACCAATAAAAAAATAAAATAAAATCAGAGTTGAGAACCCTCAAAAAAAAGAAAAAGAAAAATCACCTTCTTTCTCTAAAGAGTATCCTTTGGTTTAGTCCAACATCTTCTGCACTCCAGAGTGATATATCCAGCTTCTGGAGTACAATCATTTTGGAACAAAATAAGTTTACTTCAGCAACAAGAATTCAGGAAATTTCTGCTTTACATTTCAGCCTTCAGATATGTCTAAAACCATATTAATATCTAACTTCAGGGTTTTTTATTTTACACATCAGCTTATTTTGAAAGACATCAAGTCTGTTCGAGATGTAAAGTCTGTTTGACTATAGTTTAAAAAAATAAAGCTTAAGTTCTTACTGCAAATTGTTCTTTATTAAATGCACAACCTTGGGGGAGTGCCAGGACTGCTTCAAGTCTTCTTAGTTCGAACTACAGGAAGGATTCACTAAGACCAGGAGTTCTAGACCTGGCTCTCTGTCTTCCTAAGTGGCGTGCAAAGCAGTGATGCTTTCAAAAATTCTACATGCATCTGGGGAAATGGTTTTGCATTTGACTGAACTTTTTAATGCCTGGAGGACATTCTAAGAAAAGCTACCACTGATTAGGAATCAGCGAATTGATTTTAGAGAAAAGTAGAGAATCTCCCACTTCTAACCTTGACTTGTCCTTGAGACTATATTACGTTTAATAGTCTTACAATTATTAAGCAACATTTGCGTACAGTTAATGATAAGTCAGTTGTTGACAAACAGAAAGAAAAAGATAGGTAATCCTAGGCATAATTCCTTTGTAGCCCATTCTGCCAGAACGAAAATAAAGTAGGCCTCAAAGTTTCTTCTCATTATTTTGTTTGTAAAATATTTTAACTGGCACATAGTAATTGTACATATTTATGGTGCAATATTTCAACACATGAAGACGATGTGCAATGATCAGATTAGGGTAATAGGCATATCTATCACCACACATATCATTTCTTTGTGTTAATGTGAAACATTTAAAATCCTCTCTGCTATTTTGAAATAGTCAATTAATTGTTGTCAACCATATTTATCCTACTGTGCTACAGAACACTAGAAGTTATTCCTTATATCCAACTGTACCTTGTACCCATTAATCATACTACAGATTCTATTATACCAAGTTCCTCTATCCTATCCTCTATTTGACTAAATTACTTGATTATAATCTATTTGAAAATATTTTGGTCCCAGGACTTTTGACTTGTTCCCTTCTGTGTCCATTTCAATTCATAAAAACAGGACATTCAGGGCTCTTATTTCTATAGACATAACTTGACATTTGCAGAAATTGAGTAGTGAGAGCTGCAGACACCCTTTTGCCCTTCGAGATACAGATACCTATGGGGTCTTCCCTATTTTCTATAATTCTTTGGAAGTACCATGTTTCTCACTCCACATTTTTGAATGAACAGCAGCCCTTAAGGGGGATGCAGAGGCAAGAAATCAAAGCCTTTTGGAAGGTCGGGACCCAAGAACAATCAAATTGATTTCTCTCGGAGGTAAGGAGGGCCAGAGGCAAAAACACATTTTTCTGCCCTCCACCTCTCCCAACTCTGACCACCCCTGTAAAAGTTCCTTTCATTCTGTGTCCCACATTTTAGAAAGGCTGAGGTATACTGGAGCGAAGGCCAAAAAAGGGTGACCAGGGAAGTTTGGATTTAGAAATCATATCCAATGAGGGTCTAGATGAAGTAGGACAGTATACCCTGAAGATGAGGAAGCCTCAAGAATCCAATGAGCACTTTATTTAAATCCTCTAAAACCTGACAAGGAGAAAATTTAACCCCACCCTAGAGGACTTCAGGATACAGAAGAGCAACCAATGACCGAAAAGCCTCAGATTCCACTTCAGTCTTTTTTTTTTAATTGGTTGTTCAAAACATTACAAAGCTCTTGACATATCATATTTCATACATTTGATTCAAGTGGGTTATGAACTCCCATTTTTACCCCATATACAGATTGCAGAATCACATACTTCAGTCTTTTGCGGGGCCAAAAGACTTCCCTCCAGAGAGTGGGCTCCTTGGCCCAGAGCCCTTGTGGCTGAAATGAGTCCAGCAAAGAGGAGTCCCAGAGGAAGTCTAGGAAGCTACTGCTAAGATTGAACTATGCTTTCTGTAGGCTTCTTTCTTGCCATACACTTTGATTTTTGGAAACTTGGTTTATTCTCTTTGTGTCCTAATTTCAAACCCTCATTTACCAGGGAGATGAATAAACGTCTGACAGAGGAGCAAGCCAAGAAAACCTATGATCGAGCAATTAAGCTAGAACAAGAATTTGGAGAATATTTTACAGGTAAGTTCCCCTCATCCTGGTACTATGAGGAAGGAGATAAATTGTCTGACATTTTGCATAGAGAGGGTTCCAGGCCTGGTGAACCTGAGCCCTAAAACCATCCTGTTGAGTATCTCTAATAACTAATTTATACATAGAAAGGCACTCTCTGCCTCACCCATTTGATTCAGGATTCTGGGTTCTCCCTCCTCTGAGATCACCAGCAGCCAGCTCCCAGCTTCCCCGTGGCCCTAACCAAAACCTTGAGTGGCAGATGCCCCTGAACTATCTCCTCCTATTAAGGAGACTTGAGGCATTGATACCTCATTAAACTATCTTCCTAATGGCATCTGAAATTTTGGGGGAAAAACTCTTGGGACAAAACTGGGCAGGGGCCAAATTGGGCAGAGTCCAAAGCAGTCACTCTTGAGAAGCAGTCTCAGAGTCCTTCATTCTCTGCCCTCATGACCTGTGGCTCTGTCTCCCCATCAGCAGCACTTGAACAACACGCTCAAAAACCCTTCCCTGTGTTTTAGCTAATTCTGTGTCAAGTCTCAGTGCAAAACTTTTTTTCTTCTTCTTAATTATTTTTTTGGAAACATGAAGTTTGGGAATAGAGGAAGAATTTCTTCTTCTGGATATCCTTAGTTCTCTATTCTTATGTACTTTCATGAAACACTGATTAAACCCAGACAGTAATCAAACTGCAATTGGCCTAACAAGTAATTCTCAGCGGTTTAAAAACAAGAATTTTCCTCCTCAATTACATGGTATGGGATTAGATGTTTTATTTTTTTTTGTCTTATTCAGAATGTGGAAAGTGCCAGTGGCATAGCAGTTTGCAAATATTTTTGATTGCATTATATGAAGTAAGGTTTCTGTCAAGTAACTAAACTGTAAGTCATGTTTCTTCCTGAAAGAACATCCAAATCGGGAAATCAAGTCAAGCAATGTACATTTTGATCATTGGTTTATATTCAGGAATAAAATATTGTAATTACTAAGTTCTGAGCGTTGTTTTTGAAGACTGAAGTCATATTTCAGTACCAATTTATGTTTAAGCCCCAGTGTCATATGGATAGTACGGATGTTTTGGAGATCTAAATAGAAAATAGTTTTTGTTCAAAGGACATAATAAAATGTGCTTAAAACTGCCCTGAGTGACTTAATGTTTTAGGTAATTCATAGTTTTAGCAGTATATGTTTCCTCTTATGTGTTTCTTGTAAATAGTGGCCTTAACTGGTAAACATCTCATTTTATCAGATTAATCAGAGAATAAATGGGGTTTCCTGTTAAGTATTTTGAGGGCCAGAGAAGTTAACTACAGTTCCTCCCAAACCCTTATTATTTCCTCTGTGTCTAAAATGCCTGGATTTCTGTCTCTGCCAAAGTAAATAAAATAGAGAGACTCTAAGGCCAGCAGCTCTCCTTGCTAAATAGGGAGCTCTCAATCTGAAAATTGATCAATGTCTCAATTCAGTGGCTAGCTCAAAGTAGGCATCCATAAAATATCTGTTAAATAAATGAGTGATTCACTGTCCAGAACTACAAACAGAGATGCTGCCGGTGCAAAAACTCTGATGCATTGAATACATGCATTGAAAGCATTTTATAAATCATTAATGGACCCTGCTTATGTTAATCTTCTGCTTTGTCTTACTTGTGAAAAGTGACCCTTAAGCTTCCTGGTGACTTGTCTGTCACTGATATGAGTTTCTGTTGTTTAAGTAATGAATGGTCTTCACCACCAGGGGATGATTTCTAACTTTGGGCATGTTTACTTTTGTTACAGCTATTGTCCAAGGAGACACCTTAGAAGATATATATAACCAATGCAAGCTTGTAATTGAAGAGCAATCTGGGCCTTTCATCTGGATTCCCTCAAAGGAAAAGTTATAAATTAGCTACTGCGCCTCTGATGACAGAAGAGCATTTAGAAGAACAAAATATATATAATATACTACTTGGAGGCTTTTATGTTTTTGTTGCATTTATGTTTTTGCAGTCAATGTGAATTCTTATGAATGTACAACACAAACTGTGTGAAGCCATGAAGGAAACGGAGGGGCCAAAGGGTGGGACAGAAAGGACACTGCAGAATGCAGGAAGGCTTTGGTTTGCTCAAAGTACCAGGTGTAGGGATGAACCTCTGACAGGCTTTCTGCCCAAGAGATGGGCAGCCTCCTCACCCCAGCAGATGTCCAGAGCTGATTTAGCTGCTGAGCTCTCTGTGTTTTTTTGCTTTAAAGAAAAGTTGCCAGCACTTGAACCTCACCAATCTTCCCATTTCCCACATCTGTAATTGGTATTCTTCGAGTTTTATAACTATGCACATCCTTTGATTTCTTAACAAGCAAAGGAAATAAAGAAGGAAAAAAAAGAAAGGAGTCCCTCTGGAGACGACATACTATCAGGGAAGGATAATTGTATAGTTTTCTTGACTGGCATCTGCAAAGACAAGCATTTCATAAAATTCACAAGTGTATGGAGGACTAACCTTATGAGAGGAGGGGATTCCACCTGGGATTAGCTTTATGATTGTTGATTGTCTATTTTGCCATTTATAAACTGAAAGAAGGCACTACAGATGAGAATAATTTATACAATAAAATATATTAAATGTATAGAAACGAATTTCTATAGGTTAAAAAAGTTTTGTGAAATATTTTGTAAAGACTAATTAATTGAAAGACTAAATGTATGCATTATCAGCAGATGATCAAATTCAAGAACTGGAAGTTGCACTCTCCCTTTTGTTGCCAATGATCCATTAAGAGCATCTGAGTTCCTTCCAAGTCCGACTTCTCCCTCACTTACCTCCCATGATCTCCCTTGCACACTAGTGATACACTCTTATGGAGCACATCCCTTAATGAGTTGCCCTTATGGATATTTTTTAGAAGATATTTGGTTAATATACTTTTTAACTGATGGCTTTTCAGAGAAAAACTCAAGCAAATGATCTAAAGGGAATTCTTGCTTTTCTCTAGTTAAATAACCTGGGCCCACCATGCAAATAGTTGAATAACTTTGTTCCTAGTTACTTGCTTACTTGGTTACTTAAAGGACCATTTAGTATTCTGGCCAGCCATGAGTAATTAGAATTATTCTTTTTTTGTTGCACAGAGTAATTTAGAGTTTTGTAACAGCCAGAGTTGGTGTTAGAACCATGGGGAGATCTGTCCCAATATGCAGTATTTCTTTGAGGAAGAGAGAAGTAAGTGACTGGTTGGAGGGGTGAGGGGTTCAGGCTTTTTTGTTTCAGTATATAGGACAAAGAGAACCACAAGGAAAGACAATTATGACTTTGAGCTCAACCAATTGAACTGCCTTCCTTGGGGATGCACCTGGACCAAGTTTATTTTTTAATAATTATAATGATGATTTTAAAAAAGAAACCTCCCAAAGCCTATAAACTGAAACAGAAGAGTTTGTTTCCCACTTTAGAGCTGATGGTGACATCAGCGTTGGTTTTGCCTAAGGTGTTTAGAGAGAGACTTTTCAGTGATATTAATAACCACTTAACTCTGGGTTCTGTACATGCCCAGATTAAGCCCCATCGCCTTATTTCTGGGGTACATCAAGACCTGGCAGGGATTCTGCCACACTGTGCAGCAAACCAGCATGTAGGCTGGGGTGGGAGAGCAAAAGACAGAGTCATCAGAGTGATGGGGCTTCTTCACAGTAAGAACACTGGAGCTCAAAAATGAGAGTCTCTTTCCAAAAACAAGGGTTGTTCATTTTACACTAAATGCCATTGTCTGCCTGGCTGCAGTCACCAAAACAAACACAAAAATGCAAAATTATGCATCTACCTATAGAGGCTGCCTTTGCCAATGGAAGGGCTAGCAATGCATTTTCCCTCTGTTGAAAGTTAAATTTCCAGAGACATCCTTAGAGTGCTCAAAATGTTAAAGATGTGTTCATATCTGCAACTCGCCAGTTTCAGGTCAAGGCCAACTTTCATCATTATTGCTCCCAAAAGTTTTCTGCCACCAGAATGCCATTCCTGATCCCAGCTCTATTTTTAGGCCACCATGATAACTTCTTTGGTTTCTCAACTGAGCATGCAACCATTTATTTAGAGGACTGTCATTAATGAGTAGATGTTTTCTTGGGTCGTGTGATGTGCTTTCCATTTAATAGTATTGCTGTGGCTGAGTACAATCAAATTGAACCACCAACCCTTGGTTTTGTAGTAATATATTTATTTTCCTAGTGTAGATGCTTCCAGATTAGAATTGGCATTTGCACTGATTTTTTATGTAGATTTATATAAATATAGATATACATATATATTTGCTTGAAAAATCACCAAGCGAATTGGTGAGAGGGTCTTTTCCTATAGAATTTACACCTCCATTTGTTGTGTTGTCTTGCGCTTCCCAATGTTGAGGTCTCTATGGCTCCAATGAACTGGTGTATTTTGCAGCAAATCTAATGACTTGAATGGAAATGAAATGAAAGGTACCCAGATTACAATCTGGTGCAAATGCACTTGGAGCCTGGGGCCAGACTGGTGCTAACATTGCAAACTTTGTCCGGAGCTCTCTCCAATCTGAAGGCTTGCTGGGGGCGCAATGTCACCTTCATATGCTGGGCCCTTTCAGAAAAGTGCCAGATCGTGTCACTGGTGCTATTTTTCATGCTCTGGTACAATGTGTAGCACCACGGGGGTCTCAGCTCTACCAAAATCAAAATCCCATTTGTCAGCCAATTGCTGGGGCATTTGGTTTTTTTTGCTTTCCTCCTGCAGGATTTCTTGGCCATTTATTTTCAGGCCTTTCTCCCAGCCCCAAATTCTTAGATTGGCTGTATCTGCCTAGCAAGCCCATCTTTACAAAGCTGCACTCGGGTGCCTCTGTGAGCTGTCTTAGATCCTACTGCCAGCCCTTCTGGACGCTGAGCCAAGGGAAAGCTTTCTGCATCTCTGGTTCTTCTGCTTTTTCTTTTTTCCTTTCCTCATTCTTTCCCAGTGCTCACCTCTTCCTATCTCATCCTATCCCTCTTTGTTTTTTTCCTGGCTTCTTGAAGCCACTGATCTTGTCCTATAACCCTCCTTCACTCCCTCCCTGTTCTTTGTCCACCTCCCTTTTAGTCTCTCTCAATGCCCTTTTTATACCTTTCCTGTCCTCTCCTCTCATCCCATCTCTGATCAACTCTTCTCCTACACCCCCTTCCTTAATTTTTCTGTCCTATAAAGGGCTTATGGCTGCTTCAGACAGCAAGTCCATACACTGGACTAATGACACATATACTTGGGGTCACCATTTTTCCTACTCAGCAAAGCTGAGTGTGAGGCCCTGACCTGGAGCCAACTCCAGCGTGCCTCCCAGAGCCAGCCTGCACCGCTGCCCTGGTAGCGATGATGCATGTGCTGTGGGCCCTGCCAGCACCTGGGTACCTCTGCCTGAACCCTAGTCCTATACGAGCTCACTCCCAAGACCACCCCGAGTCTCTGAGGACACTTCCTTTCAGTAAAGGCAGACTCTGGCCCCAACAATTATTCTGACAGCAAACCTCTTCCTTCTCATTGAAGCCATGTCATCGCCTTGGTTTGGAGAGAGATGATTTTTTCCTCCTACTTTCTTTTTCCCATTTTCATGTGAAGCCCCCTCTGCTTTTCAGCTGGTGATTGCTCCGGTGAGATTGAATGGACTTGCTGGTAAAATGACAACTTTTTCTTTCCTGTCTTGGTCCTGCCTAAAATTCCTACAAAAAAAAAAAAAATTAAGCCAAGGACTCAGGCTAGTTCTTAAATTTATCATACGAATTTGTCACTTCTAGGGGAAAAAAAAAAAGGATCAACTCCCTTAAAGCATGTGGAGTAGCTCCTGTGACAACCAATTATCCAGGAGACTCCCTACAGAACTCTGTGGATATACCTTTTACTTATGTGTATGTATGGTCTATGTGATATACATATCATGTATACACATATTACATTAGGTATGAATGAATGTGGTTGGAAACTCACACACACACTCCAGTCTGTAAATATCCTTCCTCACTGAAACCTGTGCTTTGGAAATCATTTCTTGTACAGCTGTGCAGTTTCTTGTAGCAGCTGAGGTCAAGCTAAGACAGGAGGACAGTTTAGACAAAATGAGCTAAAAGAGTAGAGTACAGTATCTCCCTAGCAATTCCTGAGAACAGACAAACCAAGTGGGAAGGTTGACTCCCAATGGATGGCAAACTTTTCTTCTCTCCCTTTTGAATTTGTGTTTTCTAAGTGTGTCTTAACTTTTGAGTGCACCAGGTTGTACCTGTTAGATCCTTTGAATATGACAATTTTGTGCTTCTCTCTGACAGGATGTTTCTCCACTGAGCTGTAGTACAGGAGGGAGGGAGGGGGGATTACTCCTTGCCTGGGCTGGAGTTTACAGAGACACTGCACAGCTTACACTCCTGTTAAGTGTAAATATTCAACACTTCCATTCCATTTGTGTAAAAAATAAAGCACACACGATTATAAAATCAAGATGTATATTTCATACTCAGTGTGTCCGTGGATATTTATTGCGTTTCCCGTGTCAGCGGTGGCCCTGTTGTAAAAATGCTTGATAGTGTTTATAAATATGTCATGGTTTTATTATAAGATATAAATATTAAAACATTTTATACTTTATAGCAAATTATATTCTCCCAAAGCATAATTTGTCTTATTTCATAAAGAATAGAATCATCTTTATTTTTATCAAATTTGTCTAATTTCAGAGCTAAAGTGCACTTAGGGTAGGTTTGCTCTGAGAAATATGGGCAGTGCAAATAGGAATTGACATAGTGCTTTTGTATATTTTTAAATATTTGCCTGCTTTTAGCCAGGATTTTTTGCCAAAAGTGAATGGTATTTTAAAAGATAGGCTTTTAAAGACACATCTTTTGGGGGGAAAGAATTTCCCAATGACAGAATCCCAGAAAATATTAAAAATAAAGAAAAAAATATATTTTTACCTGATACTTATGATACAAAGAGTGGCACAATTTGGGGATGCGGTGTCATTATCTATACACATTGAGGCCACAAAACATACTAGCTCCAAAGATCTGAACATATTAAAAAATGTCAAGTTTGGGAATTTGGATCTTCCAGATTCCTAAATTTTTCTCAGGTTAAACATGCTATCTTGTACTGACATTTAGCCAGCACAGGTCTGATAGCTGGAGAACCAAAGCGAATTCCTTCCATGCAATGGGTGAAATGTCATCAAAAATCAAACCTGCCACTCAGGAAGCCAGAATGGTTGGTCATGCCATCCCAGCCATCACTGTGAGCTAGTGGGCATGATGACTGATGCCAGTCCTGATGCTTGGTAGTAAAGACCCTAGTTTAAGATACTGACTGAAGCTGCAAGACCAATGCAGACCTCAGGTTTCAACGATTATAAAATTTTTAGCACTCGCAGTCTCACCTTGTTTAATATTAATGGTGACACTACAAAAAAAGCCATATTCACTTGAATAGCATGTGTTTATTCAGAAGGAAAGAAAACTTTAGAAGAGCATTTGACTTTTCCTTGTGTCCTATTTCATTTCTATGTAACTATTTTTAAACCTGATGATTCTGGAAGTCTCAGAAGCTAGAAGTGACCTCTACATCTCCAACCTAAAAGGGCCCAGCTATGAAGCTGAAAGTGTGGAGACACTGTGAGACCAAATATTTAGCAACAGAACTTAAAAGCCCCACCATGGCACAAAGCTAAGGGACATTTGTAGAGGGAGCCAACACGAGCTTTCTTTACACAACCACACCTGGCGTCTTGCAGGTTGTCAAGGGAGAATGTTTTCTATGGACCAGGACTGCTGGGCCTCATAGCCCCAATTTTTGTTTTCTGTGACTCAACTTTCTCATGGGGACACCTCTAAAGGCAACACCACTGTCATCAAACTGGTTCCTTTCCTTTCTAATATTATGGCCAAAGTGTCAAGTCCAGATCTTGTTCCTTATTTCCCTTAGCACAGATGGGACAAAGCTGAAACAGTTGTCAAACTTTGCTAAAGGGAATTAAAAGATAATCTCATATACGATATGAGCTTAGAGCCCAGTTCCTGGGTGGCTGCCATGAGACAAAGGCCATCTTTCTCCCACCACCAGGGGTCCCTCCAACGTGGCTAGAGCAGATGTTAAACCTTCAGTTTCCACAACTGACTCAGCAGGTGATATACCCACTGTGTATCAGCTGTGGGTTGAGGGACCCTGCTGACTCCATCCTCTTTGTTCCCATATAGTAAAATACCCATTGAGGTGATTCATGATGATTGATCTGATGGCTCTTTCACTGTAGACTTCAAAGGATAAATGATTTTCAGCATGCTTCACAACTGAAAACTGACACATCAGTAAGACACCACTGGTCAAATTTTCAAAGCCAAAAACTTAGGCACTAAAGGAACTGAACCATATGAAATGTTCAACATCCTTAGCCATCATGGAAATGCAAATCAAAACTACATTGAGATTCTGTCTCACTTCAGTTAGAATGGCAATTATCAGGAATACAAATAACCATAAGTGCTAATGAGGATATAGGACAGGGTAGGGGAAAATAACTCTTATACACTATTGGAAGCAGTGTAAATTAATACAGCCACTTTGGAAATCAGTGTGGAGGTTCAAAAAACTAAAAATTAACATACAATCCAATTATACACCTCCTTGATCTACCAAAAGAATTAAAATCAGCATACTTTAGAGATACGTGCTGTTTTAGTGAGTTTTTTCACTGCTGTGACTAAAAGACCTGACCAGGACAAATGCAGAGGAGGAAAAGTTGTTTGGGGGCT